CTGACACTTCGGCTGAGTTTGCCAGAAGGGTGCACAATCATTTCGTTCTGCGTGGCCCTGGTGAATTAAAGAAGGAGGGAAAGGGAGATGACACTCACCTCCCTGACTTGACAACACGAGAGCCCACTGAGGAGCACGAGGAACGATTCATTCCACTTGCTCAAATCCTGACACACTTGGGTCTAGATGAGGACAAAACGCTAGAAGACATCAAGGGTCAATATCACCTTGACCCATTCTTTCAGAAAGTGATGGACTCACCAAAACACTTTCGCAACTTCAAAGTTGACGACGAGGTTGTCCGCATCCGACTAAACAACAGGGTTCTACTATGCATCCCTGACATAAAGGTCGAAGGAAGACGGCTACAAGAGAAGATCATTAGCCAAGCTCATTCCTTACTTGCTCATCTGGGCACACAAAAGGCACTTACCTATTTAAGGGACTGAGTCTGGTGGAAAACGATGGTACGAGATGTACACGCTGTAGTAGGAAGGTTTGGCCTCAGGGTCTTCAGAGAGGGGTGTCAGAGGTCTTCAGAGGTCTCAGGAGTCGCATAGTCCATAGATAGTGCATGTTTTTAGGGTTAGGTCTTCAGTCTTCTACCACCACCTGGTGTTTTGCTTGTCTCGTCGTCGGCTGGGTGTGCCCCTTCCAACACATTCTGTGAGACGTGTCCACTTTGTCAGACGAGCAAACCATCCAACCAGAAACCTTATGGTTTACTAAACATCTTACCAGTTCCATCCAAACCTTGGGAGGCCATTGGTATTGACTTCCTGGGTCCCCTACCGCTGTCCAAGGACAGAAATGGGGAGTACGACTTGATTACAGTGATAATAGACCTGTTCAGTGAGATGGTACACTTGGTACCAAGCCAAACAACCTATACGGCCAAAGAGATTGCAGAGTTAGTCTTTGCAGAGGTATACAAGTACCATGTTGTACCTAAGTATATCATCAGTGATAGGGACGTGCTATTCACTAGCGCGTTCTGGACCAATTTAATAAGCTCATTGGCGCTAAACAAAAGATTCGAGTGCTTACCACCCTGAAACTGACGGGTCCACAGAACGGGCCAATAGAACTGTAGTGCAGATGCTAAGAGCATGCATAGCTCCGAACCAAAGGGATTGGGTACCAAAACTCCCTGCAATAGAATTCACAATCAACATAGCGAGCTCGGAGTCTACACAACACTCACCTTTTGAAAAAACTCTGGTCAATGACCTAGAGCCATGATTTGGGATGACCCACTCGAAACGGAGTATCCTGGAGTCAGAGTGTACTTGCAGAAAATGAAACAAGGCATTATGGAGGCTCACGATAGCATAATCAATGCTCGCATGAAGCAGACACAGGACGCCAATAAGAAGCGGCATCCCTGCCCTTTCAACAAAGGAGACCTGGTCTATATTTTGACAAGAACCTGAGTTTCCCAAAGGGACTAGCCAGGAAGCTCCTACCTAAGTTTGTGGGACCCTATCAAATCCTCGATGATTTCTGGAACAACTCCTTCAGCATAGAGCTACCCAGTCGTCTCAAGCAGCGAGTAATTCATGACGTGTTTCACTCGTCGTATCTGCAGATTCACGCCCCCAGCAACGATCGGTTGTTCCCTGGTCAAATGGATAATCAAGTTGCTGAGTTCGAGACCCAGGAAAAGGAATGGGCTGTGGATCGCATTCTGTCCCATAAAGGGAATAGATCAGATGCAGTGTTCGAGGTAAAGTGGAAGGCCGGTGACATAACTTGGCTCCCTACGACCAAGTCGATCACCTCGGCGCTTTGCAAGACTATTTTGATGTCATAGGGATTGACACCATCGCCAACCTGGCAGGTGGCAACGAGGCACCGTCTGTCGAGCACTATCATGTGTTTCTTGGGGGTATGGGCCTATCTGAGGACTACTTCAAGACCCCCGCTCGACATGACCACTTTCCTTCCACTTCCTTTCGACCATCACCACGCACTATGTCTTCCACACCACGCACTATTCCCATTCCTGTCCCAATGCTAGTATCAGCGGGCATCGAACACTTCATACTCCCTGACCACCATAGTCCCAACGTCACCCTACTCGTCAGTCTCAACCAACTCCGATGTATCTCCAGCATGAGGCAGACCTCCGTGGGGAGCCACTCCTAGCTCCATCCCTTCCCCCGTCGGATACGATGAATTTGCCATTGCGCTGAACACCAACGTGGGGAACAGCATCCAAGTCGCCTTCATTCCGGAAGGTGAGGTGAGTGTACAAATTACTGGCCATCCTCCTGCTCTAGCTGAGTTAGTGGGACTCGAAGCTACACGACGTACCTCGTCTGCACCCCGGGACCCCCGAGAGGACGCTGGGGGTAAATGACTGGACTCCCAGAGAAGCGACCTGATGGATGAGGCGCTGTGGGACAACCTTGAGCATATCAAGAAACAGCGACAGTGGAGAGAGAAAGGGGTAACCAAGAGGCAGGCCAAATGTCAGAAACGGGAGGATGATGATGCTATGAAACCCTTCGCACCCTCCAAGGCCATGACTAATGCCCTCACAGGCCCGTCCAACAGTACTCCTCCTACTCCTGCCTCCAACTCCAACTCCACTCCTCAGGCTCCCTCCACTCACCTCCTGAATTACCATCGCCACCAGAGAACCCGGACACAGAGATGTTGGAGTCCACCAAAGCTACCACTGAAGCGTGCGCTGCCAAAGCCAAGGGCCGCATCCCAAAGAAGTGAGAGGTCGCAGGACGACCTCTGAAGGGGGGTATGTGATGTCTGCCTTTGGACTGGATCGTATTGCAGAATCGGGAGACTCGGAAGTCACATTATCTGAAACATTTACTTTATCAGCTGCCTATTCTAAAGTATATAAGCCTAGCACCTTACCTAGTATAAGACGAGTCGCTCCTCATTGTTTGTATCTTTGGCGTTCTTGAATCTACTTGACTTGTATCTAGTTATTCGAGCGTCTTAGTAATCCCTTGTGCCACATCTGAAAGCCTTCACTTATCACATCTGTCACAGATTGAACTCAATGGACTATTTCCCATGCCTGATGACTCCCCTGGGACATTCCTACTTGTACTTTTTTCATCCTCAGGCAGGCGTGACATTAGCTCGTAGAATAAAGCCTCACTCTCCATGTTTTTCACACCCTGGAACCAAAACTCATCCCATCCAACCTCAACAGACCAATTGAACATGTCACGGATGCAAAACATTCTCTTCTGACTGAAGAAGCAACGAATTTGTCGCTGCCTGCTACTTTCTGAATCCGAAATGCCTGAGATGTCATCCTCAACCTCAACTACTTGTCCTAACCCCGATATGTATTCCTTTTGCCATGATTTCGACCTTTCCGGCAATATAAGGGACATTATCGCATGCGGTTTGAGTCCATTATATGGTATACATTAATCATTTATGTTACATGGCATCAATTGACAAAAACTCACCTTCCTGTATCAAAATTGTGAAAGTTCTGACAGCCTGCAGTATTCTGTGTGCAACAGCCTGTTGATCAGCATTTGCGAGATCTTTAGCCTTCACATTGACACAATATTTACAGCATGCTTGCCAGTGCACTTTGTCAACCTTCGCAGTCCCCTGATGAAAATGATCCCACAGCCAGGACTTCTCCCTACCCATCGGAGCGGCTTGGAGAGATAATACAGTCCCAGGATGCTGGCACAGAGAGAATCGGAGAGATTGATGATAATGATTAAAAGTTTGGTAACCCCCAATTAACCCAATTAACTCCTAGTACATTAACCCTACTAACCCTCCCAAAATCACAGATCCATTTAACTAACCTCTTAACCGGTCATAACCGGGTTAAGTTATAACTGATTTAACAGGTTAGTAACAACACTGCTTTGCCATGGTATCGAATGCTTACATCACAAAAATTGCATGACCCAGAGCTTACTATTTGCTCTGAGCTGGAGATCAGGAAGTGCGTTCTCAAGACACTGAGTCACATTCAAGTATGACCAATCATGTCTTGAGAACTAAGGCTCCAACCGTTTAGTTTACGTGTACAATTTTTGAGTAAATAAACATAAACAGTAAGTAGACATTTGTAAATGGTTTAAACAGTTTATACACAATTATGTTTTACTTGTTGAAATCAAAGAGACCCTGCTGGGTCATAGCTTCGCACACATTGACTGTGTCACAGTGGCCGCAGCAAGGGAAGACCGCTGGTCAGTACACAAGTGGCATGACTTTGAAAAGAGCTGCTCGACGGGAGAAATGGCACCTGGAATGGCAAGGACATCATGCGCGATGCGAGAGAGAGTCGGAAATTCATGAGAATGGTCCTTCATAGATAGTCAACTAGTTTTTCAAGTCTGAAATAAGAAAAAAGTGTACCTTCCACCATATAAGAGGCATGCTCAAGGCATTTGGGTCCTTGGCACCCTGTGCAAGGACGGCATAGCACTCGAACTCAGACTGGATGGGTGCTGTCGATGTTGTGGGGGATTTTCCATCAGGACGCAAATTAATCAGTGACGAAAGAAAAGATCTTCATCAGGAGAAGCTAATGGTGGAGGCATGTGAGATGCGCGGGAACCACTCCTGGTGTTGCAAGCTCATAGCGTGCAATGAAATGTTCAAAAATTATTTTTGCTTGAGTGTATCGTCGTTGTCGAGTTACGGAACCACTTGAGGCGGAGTGCTGGGTGACAACCTAAGTATGGATAGCGCAAAATCAGTGTTAATGTATAAATTAGGAGAACTCTACTCAACTAGTTGCAAGAGTGTTGAAATGGTTTGTCAAGCCATGTCAAAGTAATGGTGAAGCTTTCGCAACCCAACTGTACATGCTTGCTGCAGTTTTCCGCTGACATTATTGTCCAAGGTGGCTGACTGCAAAGCTGTTTCCATGCAGTCATACATTGGGATTGCCCATGGCAAAGTTGGCGTGTTCGAGCGTGACATGTACAATGTGACCTTGGTGAATACCTGCAGGATTTTGTTGACTCGGTGTGCCATTCAATATTCTACAGTATGACGAGACTCATCTTGAGAATGTCGGCAAGCCACTTAAGAAAAGCCCACTCTTGGTTTGATAAATAAAGCTCATCACGGAGCTCTTTCCTTTCGAACACCCATTTCTCAATTGCCTGGTAGTACAGTAATGAAATCTAATACATGTCGAAATCAAAACACTCACCTTGCGAGCATCAGTGCTCTTTGTATCATGGCGTGAGTGTAGTTCCATCGAGTGGCAACATTGCGAATGACCATCAGGGTGCACGGTAGCTTCCCTGAAGGTGCCTTGATGTTACCAAAGGCCTGCTTGTAAATCATATGGAACTGCTTCTGTCGCTGAGGAGATGAAGCTATTTTCTTCACAGTCTCACGAAGCTATGAAAAAACTTTGGATTAAGATCAATGATTGTAAACAATGAACTTACCTTCTTTACAGGACTCAATCCATGGAACTCATTCAAAAGCTTCTCGGCTTCTTCGTCAAGCTCAAGATCATCATTTTCGATGTTGTCGCTGTCTTGTTCTCGCTCAAGCTCTTGTAAATCAGCGTCGTTATTGGGGTCGTAATGGAACGGAAGGTGCTTGTTTGGGACAAAATAGTCCTCCTCATCAGGATCCCTCGCCTTGTCTAAACTGGCTAGCATTGCTTGAACAACGAGGTTCACACATGTGCCATGCACCGTATTCGTGCATTTCCTTCATGGAACTGGATATCATAGCGCTCTTGAAGAAAACTTGCCGGTTGCTCAAGCAAGCATATCACAAGATGATGCATTATCAAGGCAGACAGCTAGGAAGTACTATGGTCAAGTCAGGACGGCTGAATACTGGTGTGAGACAAGAGGAAAGAACGTTATTTTATTCAAACCACCACGACTTGCAGCTGTTTTTGACAAACACCTTTGCAGCATATATGCCTTCATGCTCCTTATCTTTGATGTGATGAAAATCAACAAGTCGCTCGCAAAGCTACCCACGCGTCATTAATGAATGAAGCAGTTGTTCCAGCGAAGGTAAAAAAACACATTTGTTTCATTGTCCAGTTGTCAGTCCAAGTAAGTATATCTTCGATTTTACAGCCTGTGACATAGTAATGTATCATCATCAAAGCTCGTGTGTAGATGGGAGGTCTCACTTACAGTAAGTTCCTTCACTAGATTGTGACAAAGCTCAATAAAGATTTTCCCAACCATTTTCCGGACAGTAGTATCACTTGGTAGCTCCCATCTGACCTCTGAAAAACGAGATAGTCGTATTATAAACTCCGAGTTTTACCAGTTGTCCCAACGGAAGGTTGTCTTCAATGACCCCGCACAAGTGCCACAGAAAGCCTCTCGTGTTGGAAACATTGGCCTGGTTCCCTTTGCAGGTAGTCATCCATAATCCTCGCACTCACAGCAGCTGATCCTTCCGGTATTGTGCAGAAGAGGTACCATTGTCAATATCAAAGAGTCAGAAGGGGGTGGTTTCCCACTTGTCAGCATGGGGCGTGTCTACTATGTGTTGAAAAATTTCCAACATTTGGCTGTGGTTTCTTGTCGTCAAAAAAATCAGTGCACCCTCAGTCCATGGAACAGACTTGGGTCCTGTAACAGAACATCTATAGAGTCCTATTGTGTTATTTGAAGTTCAATCACACTGACAGATCACAGTACCGGCATTTAAACAACCAGTGTTTAACCTTGTACCTTGTACCTGGCTCGAGACTTGTGCAAGGAGTGTGCCAGTGGATTTGGGTATGTGACTGAGGTCCCCGTTCACCCCCACCCCTCAACTCCTCTTCTGCTTCTTCAACTCCGCCCGCAGCGCACCCTGTCCGTCAGATTTGTCCTCTGAAGAGACATCAATCGTCTCAGCGCTTGGCAGTCATTTTCCGAGTGTTTGGTCAAAGCGGTGCGAGTCTTCTGCTTATTTTTCCTTCTTTGGTCCCCCTTTAAGCCCGACTTTGTGATGCCTTCTTGCTTGTAACAGCTGTTGTGACTACTGCATTACTTGGCATCTGAATCTGAGTCAATCGTGGTGAGTTTCCAAGCATGAGCCCATTTTTTTCTGCTTGATTCATCTTAGTATCTAGACGGCACATTTTTGTAGATGCAAGCAAGCTTACTGTATGGCCAGGTAATGCATTATCTGACTCGTCAAGAATCTCGTGTCCATCTTCGTCATGATGTATGGGTGGATGGGAGATTCTGACACGTCTCTGGGCTTCCGTGGAATGTAATCTTTGTCTGCATCATCATTACCTGACTCTTTACCAGGTTTCTGGATCTGCTTCTTTTGCCTTTGGCTGCCAGGAGCACTATCATTTCAGGTCCAGTGGTTGGTGCGGCAGCCTTAGGAAGATGGGCAGTTGTAGTAAATCCATGTGGTGGAGACAGCAGGTAAATGACTTCTTCAACTATGCGAGTGATTTTTTAACCATCAAATCCGGCATAAAGCATGGGTCCTCAAGATTTAGGCTGTTGAGGTACATGCAAACTAACCCCATGCCTAAGGGACCTCGTTTCAGGTGATGGAGACAGCCCTGGTCATCCCGGCAATCCTTGCTGAAGAGGATGTCAAAACGACAGTTGAAAGTGTGCCATGGATTTTCACCAGTTACAGTGGTGGTGACATGGTGGATTAGATCACTGTTTCTTGCCTCTGGGACAGAGGCAGGCAAAGAATTACAGAGAGTTGGAAGGTTCTCTGTTAAGACCGTAGCTCAAGGGTAGACGGATCCGAAGGGCTTGGCCTCAGCTCGTGCACTGTGCCCCTTACCCGAGTACGTGCCCTCAATTTCAGAATGAAGTCCAGATGGAATCCAACGAAGTCCGAAGGACTTCTGGAGGCTGGCTACTCTAGTAGAGTGCTAGAGGACTTCTGGATGAGTGCAAGAAACTTCTGGAGGAGTTTCATCTACTGTATTAGATCCGAAGGTAAGACTTCCCAAGGTGAGTTCCCTAGATAGAAACACATAGAGGATAAGCTGCAAGGGACAGAGTCCAAAGCAGGATAGGATAGGAGGAGTGGTCCGAAGGATAGGACATCCGGAGGTCCGAAGGTTAAGACATCTGAAGGTTGCATCGTCCAAAGGTTGTGTTGTCCGAAGGTTACAACATCCGAAGGTCCGAAGGTTTACGAGGACCGGAGGAGCGGACAGGATTAGGACAGGAGGGGAAAGGCTACTATGGACAAGGTCCAGAGTAGAAACAACAGAGGTAGACTACACTATGGTAGAGTCGGATAGACAGGGTTTAGACAGAAGTCTCGGAAAGACAGGAAGTGCCGGAAAGGCAAAGCTTCAGCTTAGGGAGTCAATCCCTAAGCATGGATATAGACGGAAGGATAAATCCGGAGGACCAGAAAGTCGGCCTAGGGAATCCTTCCCTAGGCCTAAGGAAAGGCAATACTAAGATGGACCGAAGTCTGAGATCAGAATGAGTGAAGTCTAAGATGCGAGAGAGCAAGTCTATGTTGATATTCGAACTAAGGAAACTTTACAGGAGTTGTACAGAGGTTTATATACTGGACGGGATCCGAGAGGATAAGTAAGCTGAACACAAATGCTATGTACAAGCATGTGGAAACATATTGGTAAGTATGAATGGAACATAAGTAAATGAACTCGGAGATGAACAGAGTACAAGGATCAATAAGCAAGACAGAAACAGAGATAACCGAAGTCCAGAGTCAAGGAGATTACCATAAGGAGATAGATGCTGATTTAAGGTTTGGGCTTCGGATATGAGTCTAGGTCGGATCCAGAGGTCTAGAGATATCAGATGAAGTGTCTGGATATCGGATGAGTGGATCCGGAGATATAGGTGAAGACAAGACTAGGATATGGATCATGGATATAGACCGGTAGTCTAGGGAAGGTAGAGTCCGAGATGGAATGAGCTCGGATCTGATAGGACTAAGGGTGGATGGAGCAGGCTTAGCTGCGGAGGTCTGAAGGTATTGATATATGGATGTATGAAGGTGTACGGAATCAAACCGATAGTGGACTGGAGGACTGAAGGCATGGATAAGGTTATGGAGTCATGGATAAGGGTATGGAGGTCCGGATGTGCATCCGGAAGGTGTGAGAACATCATCGGACGAAGGTCCAGAATACGGGATATGACATTCTTGATGAGGACACAGAGTTTGGCTAGGTTAGCACTTGCAGAATCAGACATGTCGCAAGCTTTGAACTTTACAGTGTGAGAATATGGTAGGAGGCGCAGATCCTGGATATCTTTCCATATCTGCACTCATGTTAAAAATTATCGTTTCGGGTCTGCATCGTCGGACAGCAAGCCCGATGTGTCTTGGGACATATGATTATTATGATATCTGACATCTGTCATGGCTCGGAGCTTCTTGAGTAGTCGTCATCTTAGCATCGTGTCACAAGGAAGTAAACAGTTTACAAACGGATACTAACTGTGTGCACCAGTGGTAGTAAATACACATAAACAGTATACAGGTTAAACAGTTTAAAACAGTGTATAAACAGAAACAGTTGGAGCCTTATTGAGAATGCACTGTCCTGATGTGACTACTCTATTGTAACACTAGAACATGCTTGTTCTCAATCACAATGATGAGAATAACAAGGTTTTTTGGGGGGTTTTAGTTTCTGTATGCCAAAGGTTTTGCTGTGTCTCTGAAGGCTGGTGTAATGCATCTCATTGTGAGGTACAGGAATCTTCACGCGCAGTCAAATTTCGTGTCACGTGACCTATGTGTGTATCACTGACAAACGAAGAGAAGACGTGACTGTGCGGGATGAAGACCAGCATTGTCTTAATAACTGAGGGTCTTATATAAATACGTGTAAGAATGTAATGACACCACAATTACACTGGATAAGACTTCTTGCCAGTCCTCGATTAACATGGTCTACGACTTTTCTTCTTTCGTGGTAGATAACATGTGAGTTCTTTTGAGGCTCGCTAAACCAATCAGTTAGATTAACTCAGCCGGAGCTTTATTATCTCTGATTGAAACTATGGGATTGTCTAGGATATACCGTCTAGACACTTGAACTGGTTTCCTGAATATACGAATAACTGTTGAGAAGCTGGTCTCAAATGTGACTACATTGACCAAAGCTTGTGTTGGTCAATATACAAATACCTGGTGAGAACGCTGGTCTCACAAATAACAACGATGACCAACGCTCGTGTTGGTCAGTAAACACTATGTGGTGAGGACACTGGTCTCACAAAACTGGGTTTCTATCGTGAGAAACTTACATAATCTGAAGGGATACACTAACCCTGCACTTGTCTGGACAGTTCTTACAAAGGAAATGGGCTTTGTAAGCAGCAATTTGTTTAGACTGAAGCTTCTTAGGTGAGAGTTCAATTTGCTCAAGTGGGAGATTCTTGAATGCAACAAGTGGGAGATCTATTTTTTGGGGGGGGAGAATGGGCTCTCCTTATATACATTTTGTGTGGGAATATTATGTAAGTAAAAAGGTGATGTAATGACTTCAGAATGTGAGAAGAATATCCCAAAAACTGAAGCAGAATGTTCTAGCAGGTGCAAAAGGAAAGCGGAACACGTCATACGCACGATCGAAGGAAGGATGTACGCGATGCTCAATCATGCTCGCCTACCTCGCAACCTTTGGGGTGAGGCTGCCCTATGCACAGCCTATCTCTTCGATTGT